GTAACGTTTTGCGCTATGTACAATGCTTGGTCATTACCGGCCAGCCCGAAACAAGTTGTCCGTTTCGATAGTGTCTAGCCTTGTTGTGATCGTGATTCGGTACCGCAACTGACTCCCTTCCGCAGCCGGCGCTGTATAAGTAAGCGCTTTCCGACCGGTCTCCATCGCGATAGAAGGTGAGCGTGTGTGATAACGGTTGTGAAACTCTCGACAACTCCCAACGCTAATGACCGAAATGTTTGGTTTTCCAGCAGCGTCACGTTTACAGATTCCGCTTACACACGCGAGAGTCTCTGTTTGGCTCCGAGCACGAAATCTTTTGTGATTTCCCTTTCTCAAACTTGCTGCTAGAGAAAGAGGAAAACCCGGAGGAAGGAAAGAGTACGCTCGCTTGCCAAGATAATTATACGATGTTCTGGACTAATTTGTTCTGGTTTCCATCATTAGACGCCTCAAGAACGAGGTGGTCATTCTTGCCTTTGATTTAATGACACGTTACGCGTAAATTCTCATTGTTACCCGTTTCTGATCCGTTATCCTTCTCCTTACTGTTTTGTTCATATCATGTGACAACCGTTGTAACAGACGTTGTATAGTGTTGCGGACAAGGCCTTTAACGAGTAATGAGGTGGGGCATGAATCACGTTGCAAACCTTTGAAATATAGAGAAAAACGATTCTGTTTAATTTTCAAAAGAGAACGCAAACGTCCTTGTGCAAGTTAACGAGACTGCCGACCTGTTCTATATGCATGCGTCTGGATTTTAAAACGGACGTCTGAGCTGCTTCACGAGGCCAGTTTCCGCTGTCGAAGAGCCCGCACGAGTACCCTGGGCATATAGCCGCAGTCACAGTTTACATGTGGTTGCAGCTGATGGTAAAATAAGCATTTTCTTTCTCTTTAACGAAGCACGTAAGACGTCACGAAGTATTACTATCAATGAAAAAAAATGGCCACGTTACATCTAACTGTTCCCGGAACTATTTCACTTTTGCGCCTTTCGACGAAGATTTTCTGATGAGTGCATATGTAGACATTTAATTAAAAGCTTGAATTTCGCGTCCTTTTTAGAGCTCGTACGGGCACCTGCCGCTGCTTCATAAGTACCTTCAGCGCATTGTCCTTCTTTGTAGGTTTCTTTTTTTTACTTTACTCTGTCTGATCGGTGTCAGATGTGCTCTACGTCAATGCAAATAACTTCATTTCATCAGCTTCCTTCCAATTAACCGTTTACTCTCCGTGTGTATTGCTCATAACGATGCAATCGCTCACGCGCAATCTATATGACAGGGGACTACAGTAAAGTCATCGCGATGTAACTTTCTCCCATTACTCAGCAATATTACGATGAAACTGAATGAGTCACCACGCCACAAATAGGAAACGAGATGCCGAGATTTCGAGATCTGTATATAGCCTCCTGGCATTACGTCATAGGATTGTACACTTTCTAGTCTGACGTACCTCGACGCTGTGGACTCGACGAGGCTTGATGCACAACGTAATCGTGCCAAGTTGAGCAGGTAAACAAAAACGCTGTTCGTACAAAAACAGCCGCGCGTTCATAGCAGACGGAAACGCTCATTGCGCGAAAGAAGTTGCCGAGAAGGGGGGGTGATATGCTTATGTTGCACAACTACGAGAGCGGGAGCGATAAGCATGGTCAGTAGGACACTGTCTGTACGAGAAATCGCTGACCGCATCGCTGCGCCAGCCTTCGATAAAGGTCTGCAGTTATTACCGAAGCACGGCTATAGACGCCTCGACATGGAGAATGGGAGAGCATTGTTACAACAGCACGCGGAGATTCGCTTCTATGGGAGCCCGCAAGATAGATGCATTGTCATAAAGGAAACTGACATGGCGCTCTCTGGTGTACCAGAAATTGGGGGGGGACCACAATTTCCGGCGCACCAAAAGTTGGGGTCCGGAAGTTGCCCCCCCCCTCCCCATTTTCCTTCTGTCCACGCGGGGACCAGGATAACACCAATCCTGTGGAAGTGACAGTGTCGAGCGCGCATCCACGTTTTAATAGTCGAAACAGAGTTTTAGCTGGTTGCGGAAATAGGGTACACAAGTATGGTAAGACGGTAGCGCTCTCGCTTTCCAGTGACACTGCATCTCCCTAATAACATATGTCTCGCCTTAACGATGACAGGTACCCATAAGACCGTAACAACTTTTGAAGAAAAGCAACGTATGAAAATGCTTTTGTGGCGCCGGGGCGCCTTCAATGGAAAAAAGGTCAACGACCGGGAAAAAAAAAGAGGCGTGCCGTAATACGGTTTCGTATTTATACGAATGAACAGACTCTCCCGTCACGCTTGCTACGAGTTTCCAATGTCCCGTTTGGCTCGCAGGGCTTCACAGCTTGAAGACCGACATATCTAACAATCCTTAGGTGGATTTAAATGCTTGTTTACCCCGCGTCGACAGCACATGTATACGAGAATAACACATTTGGCCGAAAATCATCCGTATGGCGCCATTGAGGTGACGCAACATGTGTTCGGTGCATGGACCATTGTTTTGCCCCCCTCTCCCTCTTTCTAAAAAAACTGAAATTCGTTTTCAGTGTGTGTGAAGTGAGGACACGCTATTCAAGGACTTAAATTTCAGAAGCGCAACTTCAGAAATTGACATCGATGGCGCTTCTCTTATAAAGAAGCAGTTGCAAACATGAACAGCTTGCAAGCTGCGAACAATGCTCCCGTTACGCGTTCGCAGCCTCCGAAACGTGATCAAATGAAAAAGCGGGATCCGTGGCAAAAGAATAAGACATGGTGACGTTTCCATGACTAGTGCAGTTCCCACCTGAGGAAGGAACCGAATCGGTCCCCAAAATGTGTGTGTCTTTTCAAACTGTGGTTGTAGAGCTGGAGTCATTTCAGCTTTATTAATACCTTTGAAGGGAACAAGGCACGGGCGGAAGCTGTTAGAGGCGTTCGTCTGTGCTTCTTCCTAGCCCATTTTCCGTTCTTGTGCTGTTGTCCGTATAATGGCGGAAGAAGGGACAACAGTGTCCGATGGCTCTGGGAATCGCAGCGGACCAGATACTTGCCGCATTGAAGCGGATGTTCTACCACTCGGCTACCACTGATATTTATGTTGTGGTAGCCGAGACAACGTCGGCAGGAAACCTTACAAAGGAGGTATACAGAGGCACTACCTTTGCGTATACAGCTTGCTGTAAGACAAATGGCATACAGCAAACCTAGGTGTATACATAGTGACGATCCGCAATGACTTGGAAAAGAAAACTGATCTCGAAGGTCATGTATTTGAATTTTGGAGACGTTGGAAGTGCGGTCGCCCAGTGTGTTTGTATGTGTGTGTGTGTCTGTTGCTCTTGGCGTGGAGCGCACTGCCGGAACGAACCATGCATAAGCAGCCTTCCACATTATGGTCGTCGCATTGACAGATAAATTTTATCTGTCTATCACACCGTCACCCTAGTGGATACGCATGTTATTTTCTTTCCCTCAACCAGGGCGTGGGCAAAATTTTTTACGGGGGGTGGCACCGTCTTGATCTGAAGTGGGGACCGGAATGTAGTCATATATATATATATATATATATATATATATATATATATATATATATATATATATATATATATATATATAGGGGGGGATGAGGCGTAAAAGTTCGTGGAATGAACATCAGGTATCAGATGTGAGATTTGACAGGTTCTTTACGGAGGGTGATGACATCTTGATAATCAATGGTTAATTTACAATCTCCTATAGTTAATTTCTAAGCATTGTGTGCTGCATTTCGCTCCCAACATAATGACGGAATGTGTAGTGCACTCACTAAGACTCAACCTCCTGACGAAAAAAAAAAAAATCACGCGTTCTTGGAACAGGTGACACGCAGCGGAACGTTGGTCGCGGTTCGTTTTCTGCCACCGCATGTTTTTTTTTTTTTTCTCGGCAACAGATGCCATCAAACATCGTAGGACTGAAATACACTGTAGAGCAAATAAGGCATTTAGTTCGTAGTGACACGTGAATTGTTTAGATTCTATTATAGCCTATAATGTATGCGAGAGCAGGCTGCACATTCGAAAAGAGAACCGCTGCCGAATGGACTGTATCCGTAGGAGCTGCAGCAGTCCTCATTTCTTAATTACCCACTCGCAACTTGGAATGTGTCGTTTTCACCATGTGCAAGTGCATTGCTTTTCCTGTAAAGTGAAATATTCGCAGAAAGGACTCGAAGACGCATTGACGACCATTATCATGTCCCTCAGCAAGTTTTTTTCTTCTCTTGTGTATCTTTAACCGCGAAATATCGGCCATTGCGCATAGGTAATGAAGCTAAGCTATATGAACTGATAACTGCCATTTTCCTTCGGTTAATATTATCATATCTATTTCTATATTTTTTATGCTGCCCACAGTTGCACTTAATTTAGAAAGCCAAGGAACACAAACGTCACAGTGTGTGTCCACACTCGACAACATATTTTGTTTGTGTGGTCTCGTGGCACGTCCGTCAAAGCTTGGATAACATTTAAACCGGGGCCAAATGTATCGGCGCGGCGCGTTGGCATTTCAGTGACGTTGCACGTCGCTTTGTTTTCGCGGCGAGCGTGCGCAGCACCTGCAGAAGAGCGAGGCAAGACAGCGGGCGCGCGCGAAGCGAATTTGAATTTTTTCAACGCGCGCGCGTTCATCCGCAAACACGCACTCGCACACAGAGGGAGAACGTTGGCATAAGCAAACCGGAGGCAAAAAATAAATAAAAGAAAACAAAAAGTGAACAACGAATGCACGTCCGACAAGCGCAGCAATCGTCGCGACGTTCCTGGAAAAGGCGCGACCCAGCAAGCTCGCTGCTGCCTATGCTATCCTCTCTCTCGAAGGCTCTCTCTTTTCGCTTGTCGGCGCTCACTCGCAGCAGTTTCTTGATCTCGACACTTGCAGCGGCGGCCGTACCGCGGCGCTACGTGCCATATGTTTTCTTCTTTTTCTGTTTATCTCGCTATTCATCCGTCGTCGTCGTCGTCGCATCTGACGTCAGTAAGGGAAATGGCGTTCGTTATTGTGTAGAAAAAAAATGCCGTGGCTGTGAGTCGCAGCAGCGTCGCATTTTGTGCTCGGTCATCGCTGCCTTTCGGTGTTTCGCCGCGCATTTCTCGTGGGACGAGTGTACATCTTTCTCGGAGTCGAACGTTCTTCGCCGTAAACAGGTGAGTGACGCCGAAGTGCTCCCGACGTAGTTGTCCTTCAACCCTTTCGCGAGGGAGGTAATGGCTGAAAGCCTAGCACATGTCCGCGATGGTTACCGAGCAGCGCGTTGTGACGATGTCTCGCGTCCCGGCTTTCGCGACACTTGCAGTGGAAGACTGCGCTAGCGGTGATGTGCTGTGAAGAGTTGTGACGCGATGTCACGCGTGCTGTATCCTTGCCTAGCGCGCGGCTTGTAGCGAGGGTGCTTGCTCGGTATGCCTCATGAGTCGTCGAAATTTTGATTGGGGCGTCCGGTGACAGTGTAGTGCCGCATAGCTACTCGCCACGCAAGTTTGGTGCCGAGGTTGTGAGACTGCTACCTTTATTGTTTGTTAACCCTGGCACCATTTCCTTTGGTCGTGGTTAGTGCGCTTGCGGCGTTGCGGACATGCGGTTTTCCCTTTCTCCCCCATTCCTTTATCGTTGCTTACTCTGTGATGCCTGTAAGCGACTTGCTGCTCACAGTTGTAGCGCGTAATTGTTAGTAATCACTGATGGTGTTCCCCACTGAAATCGTGGATTGAGAAGTAACGTTGTTAACCCCAAATTTGACGCCGGTTCTTCCGAAAATGTGCAATCGCGTCTCTCTCCGCTAACTGCGCTCCTCCTCTCCAGAGTTCGCGCGCTGAGCATGACCATGGCATCGTCCACGCGCCTACGCTGCACTGCTCGCAATTTTGAGTGATTAAAACTGAGTGATTAAAACTTGCAGCGATTGTTTAGAACGAAGTGAATAGCCACGTGGACCTGCCTGTGTAACGGTTACGCGATTAAGGCGACACGTGCCTCCGCGGGCGCTTTGTTCGTTCGTTGTGTTAATGGCTTGTTTGTGCAGATCTGCGATCTAGTGTGCGGTGGTAGTTCTGGCTCGTAACGCCAGTGTGACGCCCTCACGGGCGGAACAAGTTGTTGGTGAGTGCGTATGCAGACACGTGCGCGTAAGTTTTTTAGAAGAACTATTGCTCAGCAAATAAACATGTGAAAGAGGAGTTCAGTATTCGCAAAAAAAAAAGAGAAAAACGGCAAACTTTATATTATCTAAGTGGCAGTGCTCTTAAGACGGCAACAATAAAGATGACGTTAAAGAAGACCCATAGCAGTAATATACAGTGCTGTGGTCCCAATGCCTTAGAAAAAGAGCTTTGTCTTTTGTCTGCAAAAAAAAAAAAAAAAATTTTATACGTTACACCTAATGTTGCAATTGTTCAATTGATAACGAAAGCACTGTGGTTTTAAATAATTAGGTAGCTTGAGGACATGCACTAACCAAACATTTGCAGAAAACTGATTTTCGTAGTGTTTTAAGTAATTTTTTTTTTTGCCTGCGCTAAGGGCTAACAAGCAAGACTGGCCAAATGGGCATATGACAGTACACTATTTTGCAACTTGTAAAGTATTGTAGCCTTTTCTGTGGCTTCATTGTCTGCCCCCAGCATTGTTGTTCTTTGCAGAAACGTCGTTCTTGCCACTTGCTGGAGGTGTGAACTTTTGTGGTTGAATATGATGCCATGAGTGCTCGCCAAAGCACGCTCTTATTTCTCTCAGAAAGGTGCATTTTTTCATCGAGGCACTTCTCCCTTTGGTTTAAAGTATAGCATGCCAGGTCTCTCAGTACACCATGCTGGGGCCAAACTTTTTATATGCCACTTTTGGGCTGTGATGCATAAAATTCCCATGGAGCTAAGCGCCTCAAATGGGACTAAGTGATGTGCGTACTGTCTATTCGCACAACTTCAATTTGTGTTTCATCAGTTTCTTCTAATATTGTCCTGTACGCTTGCACCAGAGCCAACCAGTGGACCAGATTCGTAATGGCACGATGGGGGTTATGATGAGCAGTTGTGCGTATGCATTGCTGAAGACGTATGCTGTAATGACGAGGAATAACACTGAGCTTTGGGGTGTCCTGAGCTAGAGCAAGGTCGCGAAAAACAACCGAGAGTAGAACAGCCAGCCCACCCAGTGGTCAGGCGTTGTAATCTCTGTCCTCATTACTACAATGCTGCAGTCTAGAAGTTTTCATGCCATGTGTCAATAGCAGGTGGAGACTGAGTTTTTTCTGCATTTTGTGAATATCTTCGTAAATTCACTTGACAGTATTTACATTTATGTGCATAACTATTAAGAATTGTCTCTACACGGTTATCTCATTTAGCTCTTTGTGAATGTGGTTCTCAACTAAAGTCTCTTGCAAGGTTGCATCAGAATTTGTCACAGCATGTCAATTTGTTATTTCTGAACAAAGTTGGGGGCGGTGAATGTCCTGGATGCCATATTGGGAAAAACTGTACGGAATAGGCTGGAAAATTTCCAGCTTTGTGACTGCTGTGTCGATGCAAATAGTCTGCAGTTACTACCACTTCATCATTGCTGTCACTGCAGGCTACATCTCTGAAATAAAAAGTAAACCAAAATCTGGTTTCGAGAGGAAATATCTCCGTGTTCTAAACAGCAGTCATATTTGACTGAAATAGGCTGGGTTAATTAATATGCCAGCTGCACCCTTCCACGATAACATGCGCTGCAGTTCATCCGGACATGTCAGTTTTTGTTGTAGGAATAGGCAAAGAAGAGGCTGTCACAACAGGCCAGCCATTTATAGCAATATTGCAATCCTGATTGCATTATGTGGGTGATAACTTCTCATGAAATTTTCATAGTCTTAAAGGAGTACTGACATGATTTTGAAGCACACCAGCTGAAGGGACAGCTTATGTTTCCATGGTGTGCAATGTCAATGCTCTCCACACACCGGAGCCAGATAACGTATGCAAAATGTATTAGTACCCTGATGTTAAAGTTCATAATCCAGCATCTTTTAAGCTAGCCCCACTGTAATGGACATTGTCGTGACAAGTAAACACAGCTCACTGGGTTTGTGAAATTTGCTTCCTGTGTGCTGCCTAAATTGCAGAAGTCGTCACAATCCTTGGACAACAATTCACTCATCATTTTTAACGGGAAGCACGTGTGGCTGATAGCAAACAGGCATCTATTGCTAGTAGTATGTCAGGAGTTGCTGTCTTGCTGCGATGTCAGATTCCTTTTGACACATCATTGGGAAGCCACCCTCTTGATTCTGAAATTGTTCAAAGAAAGCGGTACTAAAAACATATTCAACGCATTCCAAAGCACCACGGCACTGTTTTTAGGGTTCTCTGTACCAGTGTTCTCATTTAAAGCAACAACCCCAAAATGTTTAAAATTTGTGCCAGTACTCCTTTAACTCACTCTGACAAGGGGGTGGTGCATGTATGTGCCTCTGCACTAATCTACCAGTGTGGCAGTGATGAGGTATTGCTTGCACCTATCCCAACATTCCAAAGGCACATTAAAATTTTTAGAGAATTTTTTATATGTTTGGAGTTACTCTGGTCACCAGCAATCAACAGCTGTTGTTCTGTGTCATCATCGTGTAATAGTGCCGTCCCTGTAAGACCGCTGTTGTCAGAAGATCATAACAGGGCTGTGAAAGCGTGAACACACTCGACTCCAAACTGGGCATCACCAAAGAGCAGTAGTATAGCTAAGCTATATTTACGCGTGAAAATGGGCATACTGAGAAAATCCATCTATGATATGCTTGTGTGGCACACAGTGGGTGACATGTACTGCTTGACGAGTCTGTATAATTACAGTGTCATATTTCTTGTAGCAAGGCCTTTCACACTGAAGAATGTGTCCAGTTTGGTTTGTAGCACGTTCTATGCTTGCTAATGGTCACTAAACAAAAGCAGCATCGCTTTCAAACACCTATAAAAGCTTTGCAGAAAGCGTGGGCCACAGGGCATATGCTCTTAGGATGTACAATGTATACCTGAGCAGTGTAACCAAAATAACCTTTATTGACAGCATATCTCAAATAGAGCCTTTGTTTCGTTTCACATGTTAAGCCTAATTGACTAGTCAGTCAAATTGCAAGAAAGCTCATTTGTGCATGCAAAGCAGACCATTTGAACAAATTTGCTGCTGGTGCATCTCTTCTGTAATCATCCTTGGCTTTAATCGGAGGAGTGTTAGTGTTGCATGCGGCTTTCGTACTCCTTTGGAAAAAATTCAATGCCTGATGTAGTGTGCATTCAGTATATTAATGTCTGATGAAGATGCTTTATTGTTTATAAAGTTTGTACCGTGCATTTCACCTTTACAGTCATGGTCAGTAATGCAGCTCAGTTTCTTTACTTACAGTTACTGCTTTGTTATGGCTGGGGCAACAGTGTGGTAATTGTGCAGTGCAAATTGTTCAGGAAGTCAAGTTGGGGTGGTCACCAAATTGTGTAATTATGGAACCGCTCGAATCGGTGATCTTTTCACATGGTTGTTGAGGATTAAGGCGAACGAATTATCTACAAAGAGGGGGGCACTAAGGTTACCTCTTTCTTGCCTTGGCAGCCCATTTGTTTGCATCATTTATTGCCAGATAAAAATTGTTGACCTTGTAATACTTGAGCAGGAGTGTGGCATACGAAGTAGCGCTTTATTGGTACGTGATATTTTCGTGGTCATGGGGATTCCAGCAGTCCTCGAAAGGCAAGGCAATTCTTGAAAGTCTTGAAAATTCAAACATTTGGTTAGGATATTTGCCCGCGTTGTTGGAATTGTGCGAGCCTTATCAATCCAGTCTTGTTTGTATCTTTGTGCCAGCGTCTCAAGCCTTGTAAGCACTTCTGGCTTTGTATTTCATTCAATTGTAGATTTATACTGAAGCAAAACTGCGATGTGGCCTAGTTGGAACAGATCCATCTTGAAATGTTTGTGCAGACACACGGGGACAAAGAAGAGAACACAGACACAAATTGGGCCTGTTCTCTTCTCTGTCCCTGTGTGCCTGCACAAACATTTCAAGAAGGGTAGGTTTACATTACCATGTTTTATAGCATAAAAACAAATGAAGTGGACATTCGATGGCTGTATGCGTGGCTTTAGGTGGTTTGTTATGCATTTTAGGAGCTCCTCACACACCAACACTTCAGAGTTGGTAGCTAGATGCCAGATGTCTGCACTGGGAAGTTAATCTTCATACGATTTTAAGTACTTATATATCTGAAGCAACAGAATATTGTTAAGGAAAATTTCGCCATGGGAAGTGGGCATGGATGTATTGAGAAACTATTGTGCGAAGTGAGTGAGCAAGAAACAAAATATGACACCTGAGTGCAAACTGTTGGCTGAATAATGATAACTACACTATAAAGGGGCACTGACACAAAATTTCGTGGCCGAGGTAGCCTGTGGGGTCGATTCCCAGGAACATTTCGTATATCATCTGCAAAATATCAACAGTGAATTTAGCTGGGGAGGCATTCTATAAAAATTTCGAAGTTTGGGTGATCGTTCGACTCCATCGTGCCATTGACACTCTCGAAGGGGACCCCTTGGGGACCACCTACTTTCCTAACTTCACCACGCTGCAGTCAACAAGACAAGTTATGATGACGTTATAGCCACCATTTTTCTTTTGCCACGTTTGTTCCTACAGTCTATATTTCTCGGTTGCGAGTGCGTGGCCGTGGCACAGGCTTAAAAAGTTTTGTGTTTGGCGACATTGCAGTCTTGTTTCCTATTTGAAAGTAATTCTTGGTGCAGACTGTGCGGAAGTGTGTCACAGTTCTCGTTCCTGATGTGATAAAGAGCTGCACATGCTTGGTGGCGACACTCGCACCAAGCTTTTGGAGCTCTTTCAAACCGAAACTGATCGATAATGAGGGGCCTGTAAATGATTAATTACCTGACGCGTGCTGCAGCAAACAATGTGTCGTGTCATGACTAACAGGCCCCCAGCAACACATTGCAGCAGAAAAACGCGAGGCCAAAGATTTTGTGTCGGTACCCCTTTAAGTCGGTATTAGTTCTGGAAAAATTCGTCATGGGTTTTCATAACACACATAAGTTGAAAAAAAAAAGCTCGGGTCTAAAAAAATGAGAGATGTTCAGTTCTTGTAAGTGCTATGCTGCAAAGGTTCCTTTAAGTTCAATTCTCCCTGCAATTCTATAAAAGCTTTTTTTTTTTTTTTTCAGACAAAGAGCTTCATTGTAACTTTCGTGCATGCACGCTCAATGTGATGATTTTTTTTCAGAATCGTCCACATGGATGCCCTAATCACTTAGAGGCTTTCGGGTGTGCTTAATTTATAAATTACTTATTGTCGTTGCATCGAACAACTCTTATTGCTCTGGGTTTCGCTTCTGCATTGATAGAAAACACTAAAGGTTGGAAGTAGCGGAGACCGCTCGTAAAGAAGAGGTTAGCCAGGTTGAACATTCCACCTATGTTTCCATCTGTCATTCTGCTGATGCTAGTGTAATTTCTTTTTTTTCCTTTTACAGTGAAAGTTCTTGTGAGATCACAACAGTAGCCAATTTTAGCAACATAGCACATATAAGGGCATGTGTAGCCGGTACTTTGCTTTTCCGCAAAATGATAAATAATGGTATAGTGGCTGATATGCAAAATTATGAAAATCAGCGTAGTGGGTATCTTGTGGTTGTATTTGGAGTAGCTGCCCTTACAGAGTTTACAACGGGCTCCAGTGAGGCTATTATTCTAGCTTTTGCAGCGACTGTGCTGCACGTTCTGTGCAGGCTTGGTGTCTTTTACTAAACAAACTGGGTAATGGCATGTGTGTTGGCTTTGTCGCTTGTCCCCGCAGGGTGGTGTAGGCACCCACCGAGAGCGTGCGGGTAGGCGGTAACGGGCGAGAGCAGCATGGCGCTCTGGGCCCGTCTGCAGGAGCTTCCCGGGGAGCTGTTGCGTCAGTGTCAGCTGGCCTATGGCGAGCACTTTCCCATGGAGGTTCGATGCGCTCTTGCCCACTGGATCGAGGGGAAGCCGTGGCAGGAGATGGACCCTGATAACCCCTCTTTCGATATGTACGCACCGGGCGTGGTGGCCTCTCTGCTTGAGGAGCTGCAACACAAGGCCTCTACCGAGGATAACTTTGTCATGCGGCTCAAGCTTCTGGAGGCTGTGAACACCTTTAAGGTAAGCAAATGTTTCCCTCCAGTACCTGGCTGCTTTGTTCGTTGCCTCGTTCTTATACACCGTGACAACTTTTCTTGACAACACTATGACAGCTACAGAACCGAAGCGCACCGCTGCTTCCACGGCAAAACATAGTACTTAAGTTTGCTAATTATTTTGTCACTTGCCTTGACGAAATAAATGCTATTAAGTTTTTTTATGAGACTGAAACAGTTGGTGGAAGTGTAGGTGAAATAAGGTAATTCTTCACTTTGCAAGCATATTTTCTTTTTAACATCACCTTCTTCAGCACGCCCGTCCTCCTGCATGAATGTCTATGACATGGTGGGTCAGTTCGCAGCTGCAAACAGGCTGTTTAGTTCTGCATGAAGAAATTTTTTACTCCTAATATGACCCTAAAGTATACATTAAACTATTGAAATGTTCTGTTCAGATTTTCTGTGCATATAATTTGCTAAACTCGTTAACGACGCAAGTGAACAAAATCGAAATCAGGTGCAAGCTGCTTTACTACTTGTGGAGCAACATAAATGTGTAGAACCCCTGCCTCCGTAGCCCGGTATATTAATTTTTCCTTATAATAATAAGCAATATGTGTACTATTGGAAGCCAATTGGAATGGTACATTCATTTATTTAAAGGCCGAAAAAATTCTATCTTTAAGTGCCGAGGAAACGAATATTTTATAAGCATTTGTGAAAACCATGCTATGTACCCATACTGCAGTGACTTGGTGCCTGATAAATGTTACGACGCTGAATGTAGTGAGCACCCATCGATCAAAGATTGCACAGTTAGAGTAGCGGTCTAGGGGCATGCGTATTCATTAGTTTATTATCATTGCTGCCTTGTTGACAAATGATACGAGTCTTCTGGCTTGTCGTTCTTATTTAGCAAAACTACGGCCACAACCCCCACGCCCTGGTTCGTGTGATCAAGAACTGCCTTGCGACTGAGATGCGCATAATCCAGCAGGCAGAGAACTGCAGTCGGCTCGCCTCCCACATGCCGGGCCCTCACGATCCACACAGTGAAATAACCCAGCAGCTGGACACGTTGAGAAGGCGCACGCAGGTACGTTTCTTCATTTCGTGGTTGCGGCGGACTGGTTGAGGTCGGCTTTACTTATGTGGCTTGAAGCACTGAGAGCATGTGAGAGATGTTTACCATGTGGAATTCATGCCCTTTCTGGTGTTTGCCTGGGATGCAACATGCCCACGTCTGCCATTAGAGGCCTTTGAGTATGCGCTACCTTGTTTTTATGATGGGGATATTAGATACATCATTGCTCTCAATTACTTTTTGATAATTTCGTTGCTTATTCTTGTAAGGTAATGCGTGTTATAAGTTACTAAATAACCTTTCTTAGTCTGCTTTTGTTTATTTCTGACCCAAACCTGCTCCAAAGCAGGAAGTTTACTGTTCCTGGAGTTGCTCCAAACATCATCAGGCTCTTTCATCGCTACATATATGAAACGGTATGCATGTGAGCACCAATGCTGGTGAGACAAATAAAAAAGCACACATTACTACATTTGTATTACTACATTTGTGTTGGCTGTGCGGTCCTAAATTGAGTGACTGCAGTGCTGGTGGTCCAACTGTAAATGTTGAGAAGGCCTGTTCGAGAGAAGTCAAGGCAATTTGTTCTGCCAACATTTAACAGATGCACAGATCTTTCCCGTACGTGTGTGCGCTTGTTCACGGCCGTCATATCGAATACTTTGTGTACAGGAGACGGAGGACGAACTTCGCCGCATGATCCAGATTCAGGAGTCTTTCGTGATCCAGTACCAGGAGTGCCAGAAGCTGCAAGCGCACTACCAGCAGCTTTCAACGCAGAACACCGGCGGCCAAACCAACGTGGACCTGATCAACAAGATCCACAACGAGACCAAGGCCATGGAGCAGGCCATTCGGCAGCGAATCGGCGAGCTGCGGGAAATGCGCGTTGTGAGTTTTTCAAGCATTTGGCAATTACACCGGCACAAGCCCCGCCACGGTGGTCTAGTGGCTAAGGTACTCGGCTGCTGACCCGCAGGTCGCGGGATCAAATCCCGGCTGTGGCGGCTGCATTTCCGATGGAGGCGGAAATGTTGTAGGCCCGTGTACTCAGATTTGGGTGCACGTTAAAGAACCCCAGGTGATCGAAATTTCCGGAGCCCTCCACTACGGCGTCTTTCATAATCATATGGTGGTTTTGGGACGTTAAACTCCGCAAATCAATCAACCACACCGGCACAAAGGTTCAAAGCATGCAAACTGAAGGCATTCAAGTGACAGAATTGACAGCATGCAAAATGAAAGCGTTTTGAAATTTGGCCTTCGAATTAATATGCAAAGAATAAGCAACTTCCAATGATGGTGCAGTTATCTTCATGCACAATAAAACCTCATTAATTCGAATTCTGTTACTGTGTTTCAGGGCCTCCTTAAAGAAAGGACCGCGACTTAAAAACTACTTGGCCTTGTTCAATCGCCTGCAGAACGCTTTTGAAGCTGCTTTCGCCGCAGTACACCAGTGTTGTGTAGAAAACCGTACAAAGATTTATAGGGACCCTGAAACGGCTTTGGCGATATTGTACAAACACATTGAGCCTGTAGACCAAGTCCTAAAGGTCATTCGGCGACCGATTGGCGCTCCCTGCGTAATTCATTACAATGCTTTAAAGCTGCGAATCGCTGCAGATTGCTGTGACTCGGCCTAATGAGTTTTCAACTGCGCATTTACAGAGAGACATGCTCTGGTCATTTGACGTCACTGTGGCTGCTGATCTGATTGGCTGAGGCTGTAGAATGCGAGGAAGCAAGATTGGCTGGTGGGGTAGTGGCACCTGTCGGAGAAAGTATGAACCACTCCGCGATCTTTGTCTCTGTTGCCACACGGCGTGCTTGCTGCCAGCGCATTGTGTAGTGGCCTCCGACATAGCACGTTGACACGTCGTGTGCAGTTTTAGAGGTCTAGATGGGTAAAAGCTCAAATCATGAGGGCTTTTTGTTTGCCAGCAATTCCAGCGTGCCTCATGAGTTGAGAAGGCCAGGCAGAGATGAGAAGGAGAGTATGGTATAATTGTTCGTGGTGGCTTTGACACGTGGCGTGTCACTAAATTAGTGGTGTGAATGGTTTGAGGATGCCCTAGCCCAGTGGTCCTTATGGATGTGCCAGGGACCCTTTGTGGACTGGTGGACGTGATGGAGGACCCCTTGGAGCGGACGGGAGGGAGGTGGTACATAGGTAAATTAACACAACTGGAGTGTGAAACAGGTGCCTCTTATTGCTACCAAAAACATCAAACGTGCCATATCATTTCATACGTCGCACAGTCGCGCTTAAACAGAGTTGCCCATCTGCAGGCACATTCAACCTGTTTCGGTGTTTGCGTCACGGCCGGACTTGACTCGAAAAAATGTTGAAAAAAAAAAAAAAAGCTGTTAAGGGTTTCGCAGATCATGAAATTGGCATTGCGGACCCCCATTGAAGAACCACTGCCCTAGCCTAAAAAAAAAAAAAAAAAAAACAACGTTTTGGGGTCCCTTTTAAAGGGGCTGTTGGTGCTAGTTGTCACGGGACATGGAATATTTTCTTCCTCAATCACTTATGCGTGTATGCGCCACATAATCTCTAGTTCTAGCATGATCGCTGACTTCTAAAAAAAAGTTACCAGTAGTTTTCTGAAGCTTTGTGTCGCATTTCTGCAGCCCTAAGTACAGTAAAAGCTCGTTAATTCGAATTCCACGGAAACGCTGAGCAATTTCGAATTAAACAAAATTCGAAATAATGAAAGTGAGCAAAATGGGTGGATTTCGGGGGTGGGGGCACGAAAAATATTTATTGGCCAAAAAAGTCGGTGATGACTTTTCTGCTTCTCTGCTTCTTTTCTCTGAATGCCACAGCTGCGGCTCCCTGTTCCAGCGCGCGGACGCGGTGCAGGGAATCCTCTTCACCCTCTTCAAAGCTGAAGATGAGACGCGCCACATTAAGTGCCTCCATCACCGCAGAAGCTGACGGGCGCACAGGCGCTTCGTCATTTTCATCTTCCTCACATTCTGGCTCTTCAGCATCAGGCTGCGCACCGGCTACTTGAGCGATAATGTCCTCATCAGTCAGGGCACCACACACCGACGCACCATTGTCAACTTCAACATAATCGGCAAAACGTACGACCCGAATAGTGTCGCGCAATGCCACTGGCATGAGCTCCTCAGCCCCATCCACGTCGACGTCACAACTATCCTGCGCACTTCCAGCTGCAAATCCACTGTGGCAGAAACAGTTTGCGATTGTGGTCGCGGTCACCTGTTCCCATGCGCGCACCAACATGTGCATGGCAGTGAGCAGCGTAATGCCGAAGTCCTTCCTGTCGCCCGCGCACAAAATCATTCGTGAACGAACAACGTGCTCGAGGAACAAAGTGACGCTGCCGGGAGCGGCCTAGGACTGCTAGGACTACTCCGCCGACTCCTCAGCGTCCCGTGGGTCCCACGTACAAGTGGCGCCAGGCTCTGAGATAGCGGGAGGGCTACGAAAAAAAAAAAAATGCTCCCTGGATTTTGGAGGCCATACTTTGCTCGCCCTTTGCTCGGAGGCCACTTGAAGCTCGAAAAAAACTGGTCGTGCCACCTATCGTTCGACCGTAAAAGCTTCCACTAGTGTTTGACGATGATGACGCTCGGCGGCGCGCGCTTCGAATTATCCGTAGAGGCAGCAATTTCTGTTCGAATTAACGAATCGTTTTACACATGGTCTTCTATGCACTGTTGATTGGACTGCGGCGACCATTTCGAATTATCCAAAATTTCAAATTAATGAGGTGTGAATTAACGAGCTTTCACTGTACACCAGATTTCACCACCCCAATTGTTCCTGCTTTTTGAACTCACAAAACTTCGAGTTTGCCACCTTGGCAAATCAGCATTTGAATTTGCAGAGTCTGTCAAAGGACCAGTACTGCAAATGGTAATGTGAACTTATTGTTTGCACTGCAGGTGGTCCTTTGCTGATACAGCAGTGCTCGTCTGCACTGTGCTAGAGTTAAATGACGTTGAATGATCTTTCCATATTTTGGTTCTTATTTTTCTTAAGGTAAATTGTTTTGTTATACTGTTCTAAATTTGGAGTTTAGGCGACAAATGTATGTCTTTTTGCCCTTGACTTGCTCCAAATTTGGATTTTTGTGCTTCAAAAACAACATTTGCTCCTCCAAAAGTTGATCTAAATCCTATTTCACCGGTTGCACCCCTGTGTTACCAGTCTATGCTGTACAGTAAAAGCTCGTTAATTCGGTTTTCACGGGACCGGAAAAGCTGTCCGAATTAACCGAATGCCGAATCAACGAATGAACAGGGAAAACATTTAAAATCAAGCTGCAGAAGCATACCTTTATTTGTTGAAGTATTTTGTAATTGTCGTCTGCGTTTTCGCGCAGATTCCGGCTGTCATCGCAATTTTTCTTAACTGTTCAAAATGGCCAACAGCACGCAAGCTGTCGGGAGTGTTCAGGCAAGTGTCCTCTAATATTAACAGCACCTCCGAGACTTCCTGTGAGGTGCGATGAGGTCGCGGCTGTATCTCCTCACATGATTCTTCGTCGGAATCGTGGTCTTCATGGGCGCCCGTGACATCATTAATAATCTCTTGATCGGTCGGGAGACCACTCGTGGCGACACCATGATCAATCGCGATGTAGTCCTGAAAGGTCACATCTGTGGGAACGACAGCATCGAAAGTCGGGCAGTCATCGTCGGTGGACTCGGCTGACACCTCCTCAATGCCATCGTCAGCTACTGCTGCATGCTCGGGCCTCACAAAACCGCTGTGCCGAAAACAGTTGGCGGTGACTTGCGGCGGAGTGTTTTTCCACACGTGGGCGATGATGTGCACTGCGCCGAGTAAGTCCACTTGATACAACTTTCCAGCTTCTGAGCATAGGATAATTCGCTCTAGCAGGTGCTACCGGTACTTTGACTTCACGTAGTGAATGATACCCTGGTCCATCGGCTGAAGAGCAGACGTAGTGTTGGGCGGCAAAAAAACTACTTTGATGCTCATCAGTTCGACTGTACAGTTATGGGCACTGCAGTTGTCAACAACCATAATTATCTTGCGGTCCTTCGACGTGAAGTGCCGGTCCAACTGCTGCAGCCAGCCGCGAAAAATGTCCGATGTCATCCATGCCTTCCTGTTCGCTGTGTACTCGACAGGAAGGCTTTTGACGTTCTTAAAACAATGTGGCTTTAAGCGCCTTCCCAACGACAAGTAGTGGCAAGCGCTCCATGCTAGTCATATTGGCGGCAAGAAGTGCAAGCAAAGGATAACTGTGCTTCTTGCCGCCAATATGACTGGCAAGAAGCACAGTTATCCTTTGCTTGCACTTCTTGCCACCAATGCACGCGTCCCCTTTGAAAGTCACCGTCTTGTCGGGCAGAGCTCTGAAAAATAGAGCAGTTTCATCTGCATTGAACACGTCACGTGGTTCATATGCGGCGATGTGCTCCAGCAGCTTCACATTTCTCCACTCGGTGGTCACGCTTTCGTCAACACTGGCCTTTTCGTCGCACACACTCCTGAAGACAAGTTCGTGTCTCTCTCTCTCGAAACCTCGCAAACCACCCTTCTGACGCTTTGAACGATTCAATGTTCATCATTGCAGCGTACTTCTCACCTCGCGCCATGATGAGAGGTCCGCTCAAAGGCAGATGTGCATTGCGACAGTCAGTAATCCACCGGAGCAAAGCTTCTTCGAGCTGGGGATAAGCTGCAATTCGCAACCGCTTTCTAGAGGCATGAAACTTCCCGCTTTCGAAGGCTTGTCGAATCTGTTGTTCATTTTTCACGTACGTTCCCAACGTGCTCCGCTTCACGTTGTACTTGGTCATAACCTGCTGTCGCGATTCGCCGTTCTTCAGTGTTTCTAAAATTTCCACTTTAGTCGCCAAGCTCTTCGCGTCGTAGTTCTGCCGCTTTTTCGGCGTTGCCATTACTGTAGCACACGATGGTGGTGGCATGCAAATATGGTCACAATGGAAGAAAAAGAGAACTCCGCAAGAAGAGATGGTTCTGACACGACAACACAAGGGAAAATGGCGTCGGAGGCGCAGAGTGGAGAAGAAAGAAGACGCCGATGTTCGGTGACGCTGCGATCGCCCCCACTAGTTGATGATGATGGCGATGCCACTCAGGTTTTGGTTTCAATCCAGTGGTGCCAGCACTGCTTTATCACACTTTTGTGTAGCAGCAGCCGTCAGCATTTGTCTGAATTAAGCGGTGCGGAGACGAATTCCGACGAAATAACGAAGGTTTGGTCCCATAGATTAGCATTCACTTTGGGCGGGACCAATAGAGCCGTCCGAACTATGTGAATTTCCGAATTAACGGGTGTCGAATTAACGAGCTTTTAGTGTATTACTGGTGGCTTGACCCGGATGAGTTTACATGCGCGTCCAGCGCTAGTCTTGTTTTATGTGTCAAGTCCTCGTTTCTTCGCTGTTTTTTATACTATGAATGTATGCCAACGAGCTCAAGTTGACACGCTTCTCACTGCACAAACCACAAGCTGGTTTGCTCACGGCTGGAAGGCTGACGCACGTACAGAGCTCATTGAGTGCAATGTTCCGTTGTGTCAAAATTTACTGTCATTGTTATAACATCCAAATGAATCGCAAAGCTACGCAAATCACGTGTGATCCATGTGCCTGAAGGATTCATCTGATCGCCGTCGCAGTGATAAGTGATGTGTGAAACACAGCTGTGTGTATTTGTGTTTTTGCAGGCCTTTGCAGAGAAGCAGCAGGAGACAACAAATATGCTGGCCGCACTACAGACACGAGTGCTGGACAATGAGCTCATTAAGTGGAAACGTGCCCAACAACTTGGTGGGAATGGCGTTACTTTCGAAAACAACCTTGACCAGATCCAAGAGTGGTAAGTTGTGCCTCTCTGCCTCCACTCCCTTTTCTTTTCTGCTTCGCTGTTTATTTTCCAGGTCTCTTGAATAACTATGTCATCAGTTCCTTTTAAATAGCTAGTGATTGGAAGGATTTGGATAACGACTTGACTTCTCACTTCAGTTTCCACAACTTCTGTTTTCTTTAAATTATTTTCAATCTTTTACTACTTTGAGTTAACGAGGTATTGCTGTATCTTGACATCTACACTGGTGTTTTTGCTGATGTGCTTTACTATTTCTTGCTTTAATTCTGACTTTGCATCTTAATAATGTTTTCTGGCATCGCGTTCGTTCTTTGGTGGCAAAAAGCTGCTTTAATTTCTCCTTTTTCATGATGCTCTCAGATAAATTAACTCGTTAAGTGTACAACAATGATACACTGAATTTGATAGGGATTGTGAAACAGATGATTTCTCCTTTTTCATGATGCTCTCAGATAAATTAACTCGTTAAGTGTACAACAATGATACACTGAATTTGATAGGGATTGTGAAACAGATGCTTTTATATTGAGCAACCGAGTTGACTTTCGATATGTGAAGCGACTTACGAAAGCAAGTGCCAGATGTAGAGCCAACTCCTATGGCTGTACTTTACATGCTTGTGACCCCGAAATTGAGAAGATGCCTGCATTTCGCATGTACATTCCACATGTCCAGTGTGGCACTGGAATTCTAGACTACGTGGGAATTTTTTTTTCTATTCTTTAGCATTGTCTCGTTAGCGGGAAAATGATGTGTCTGGATTTCAGACTGTAAACACTTCATTTTTGGAAAAGAAACTTCAGTCACCTAGTGTTCATGAGCGTCATTCCATGGCAGGACTTGTTGCTACGAAAGAAGTGTTGTCCTTTTTCCTTGTAGATAATTCCTCTACTATCCTAAATGGGGCTTTGGCTTATGCAGAGCAGTCCATCCCACAATGCATGCGATTTTTCCAAATGGATTGAAATAATTTCTCTCGTAATGGGGTTATTGTTTTGATCAAGGGGCGGCTCTCATTCTGTGCATTGTTGATGCAGGTGCGAAGCCCTGGCAGAGCTTATCTGGCAGAACTGGCAGCAGATCAAGAGGATGGAGCATTTGGCATTGCAGGTGCCCATCGGAGGAGGCCAGGCTCCACAAATATCCGAGCGCTTTAAGACCCTCAACGCCCATATCACTAGCCTACTTTCCTCACTCGTCACCAGGTGAGAGTGGTGGTTACATTTCTCAGGACCCACGCTGGATTGCGAGGGCGGATGAGTGTTGGGATCATAGGTCGGCAAACAAAAGTTGTGCTCACTCATACATCTTGCGTTATGGACTTGCTTGGGCTCCGACTTGCCAAAACGTTCCTGAGCCGAACTCGCTCAGACTCCAGCCGAACTCCCTCAGGCTCGCGCTCGTGAAAATTTTCTACGGCCTAACTCGCTCAGAGTGAGTAAGTTTGAGCGAGTCCCAGGGAGTCGATTCATAAGTGAGTTTGCCGACCTATGATTGGGATATTTGAATCGAATATCAAGTAGTTTTTGAGTGCTGAGTAACCACCTTTACATTCGTTGTAGAGCTATATTGAAATTGTGTGCCTAATTTTCGCATTACAAGCATACATAATGCATCAGGAAAAATTGTGTGTGGGGAAATTTAGAGAGTGTGAATAATAATCACATAGCGGACAAAGTGATGTATCCCAAGTAACATAGAATGCTGCATCAACCCCTGTGTTTTATGCGTGTGGTACGAAGGGGGATGTTTATTTGGGTACTGCAGTTGCCATTCTAAAACAAGCTGTAAAAGGGAGCCATAGGCAAGGATGCGATTTCACCTCAGTCGATCTTTTCACGATCAAGAGTGCCCTGTGCAACTGGGTAACGTGAAACACTAGGGCGTGTATGTAACTTTAGGAAATTTCTATTTCAATTTTGCGTGCTGAAAGTTTTAAGCAACCAGGCATGCAAGAGAAAGCAATCCGCTATGCACTGGTAGCACAGAGGTCCTTCAGCTTACCCAAAGGAACAGAATATAAAGCTATGTCAGCAGCAGCTATTATATTGCAGTTGCAAGCACCCTTCAAATACTAATCCTGGTGACTTTTTGAGTGTAGAATGTGTTATAGGTTTGTTTGCTATGGGCACGGCTTTCTAGCGAACGTGAGGGAAGTCGTATTGAAGTCTGTGTGAGTGGTACAGCAGCAATGGGATGTGCTGTTTGAGGTCTAGCAGAAGCATTAATAGGGCTAGGAATAGACCTTTAATAAAAAAGTACTTTTTTTTTTTACACTTGCAGCACATTCATTATTGAGAAGCAGCCTCCACAAGTTATGAAGACGAACACTAGGTTCACAGCCACTGTGCGCCTTCTGGTTGGGGGAAAGTTGAACGTCCACATGACGCCGCCTCAGGTTAAGGTGTCTATCATCAGGTAAGCGCGATTTCCTTTTCACTCTGCCTATTTATTTACGCCAGTGGCCACTGTGGACTCGTCCTTGCGATTCAAACTTATGCCAGGCTGTTCTGAAGTAAGCTTTGAAGCATGTAAAGGTACAGTGCATCCAAGATGAGACAAAGTAAAAATCACAATGCACCTACGCAAAGGTAACTTTCAGAATTAGGTATTTTTGAAAGTTAGTGTTGTGTGTATGTCTGTTGGGAGTGTTTTGCTTCATCTAGTCTTAACCTGTTTGACTATACAACCTCAGCGGGACTAGATAAATAAGCGTAAAATCTGGCAGAAACACACGATCCAAACCCAGGAAACATTGAGGATTACAAGCTTATATTGAGGTGCTCAAGCAAAAAGTGTTTGTTTCTGTGAAGACAGAGTGGCTCTCTAGATTTTTGTACTTCTGGCAGCTCACTGACAGCCAGAGGTTAGCCAGCTAGTTACTGGTCCTGCTAAGAAACAGTGTTGTGGTCGCATGTGTTGAAATTGTAAGACAGGCATGTGTGCAAAGAAACTCTACTGCCATGCCAGCAAATAAAACTTTGTGCCGTCTGAGTGTCGGCTGTTTCTGCATCGACGCTTGGAAATACGGCGCTAGGTTTGCCGAAAAGTGGAAGAGATGTTCTCAAGCAGACACGCATTGAGTATGCGATCACGGACATTTACAAAATCACGTGCGACTTGCCCCATCTGTGAAAAAACCTGCTGTGCTACTAATAGCTGAAACTACTGGAAATTTCTTATTGGAGTACTCATAGCTTTGGCGAGACCACAATGTCAGTTCAAATTTACCGAAAGCTCGAATTAAGCATGTTCGAATTAATGAGGTTCGACTGTACTGGCTTATATGCTGATTTTAATAAAATTTAAAACTTAGCATATTTTATAGGGTACAGTCGAGGCCACATATAACGGCCCCACTTAAAACGAACTTTCGCTTAAAGCAAACAATATCCACATGACCATTAAAATACACATTGGTTCAATGGCACAAAATCGCATTTACAACGAACGTTTCGAGCGCCGCTGATCGGTTACAGCGAACGGAGTGTGTGCTCTGCCGACTTCCCGGGAAACCACTTTCAACCACGGATCAGGCATCGGCGAGGTGCCCATAGATTCTTATTGTTAAGGGGGGACACTGTACTTGAGAGGAAGTGCCAGATATTTTCATGTGTTTATAAGCAAAATTCGCAGTGTGATTGAGTTTTTGATGCTGATTTCAAAAACGTACCGTATTTACACGATTGTAAGACGACTCGAATGTAAGACGACCCCCCCAAAATCGCATCTAAAAAAAAAAAAAAAAAAAAAACTCACGTAGGCCCTAAGCTTCGCCTTTAGTTCGGGAAAGCGGCCAGACTTCGGCCCGCGAAAGCCACGGCGCTTGGAGTCGCATGAGAAAATTTCCTCGCGCTGAAGCCGCCACTTCCGCACCACACATTCACCGATTCCGAACTTTCGTCCTCATGTCACGGCACTCATGTCAGACAGAAGTGACTCGAGAGAGCCGGTCGTGGACACAAGCGACAGGAGCACGCGGCGACGCGCCCGCTTAGAAAATTGTATCACAAAGAGGAGCTCTTCCGTCGACTACCAATACCCCCCTACGGCGGCTCTTCCATCGATTACCGGTGCTTCCTCAAGAGCCGTGCGCTCGTCATAAAGGCACTCGTAATGCGCACAGTAGATGCTAAAAAAAGAAAAGCTTTTGTATAAGCACGCGGAAAACTGCGCTTTGGGTTGAGCGGGAAACTATTCGAGATGACAATACATGGTTCGATTTCGATTCTAAGACGACCCCCCATCATTGGATTGTCAAATTTGAAAAAAAGGGTCGTCTTACAATCGTGTAAATACAGTACTTTTCCTCTAAACCAGTTTCTGGGATATCCTAAAATTAATTACCTATTGTTTGCCAGTATAATGACACGATAAATTTCATTGCAGAGCTACCATTGGCATATTCCTGTATACTAATGAACATAAGCCACACAACGGTAGGAGCGCTTTTTTGATTTGATAATGTTAACAAGGTTTGCTGCACTTTGCATTTCAGTGTTGCAGACACACCCACTTTATGCTCCGATTTTGGATAAAAAATAAATCTTTGAAGATCTCAATAAAAAATTCACTCCTACCATTGTGTAAACAAAGGATACAGCTACATGTCGCAACAAAAATGACAGTCCTAGCTGTGCTGGAGGTAGAGATATCGTTTGGACAAGTTTGCAACTGCAGCAAAATTCGAACCCTGAAAAATCATGCAAAAACAAAAGAAGTCGATTTTGACAAGACAGTAGCATGGAAAAGCTGTTTATTTACAATGACTTTCAAATTCAACTTTTTCAGTATGCACCAGGCATATAGTCTTTCTGTTTTGCATCACCTAAATGACGTTTTTTCAGTACCCGCTGCGTGTTTTCCGCAGAGGCACACTTGCAAGCAGATTCAGTCAATCTGCAGCGGTCTTTTTCTGCCATGCGCTTTTTTGCTGAGAGTCTAGGATTGACTTGCAGCTCCTTCAGGATTGCTGCTGAGGCTGCTTCATTTCCAGCATTGTATTTCAACACGGCTTCAGCCACAACAGCTTGGACAGAAAACAGTGACGCATGGCTCTCTTTAGCTGAGTGTGCCCAAACAACGGAATGGAGGCTCTCGTTGCTGTTCTGTGTTTTCCACCGCTGGCACCGTTCAAGAAGCCTCTCATTCGACAAGCGTTCGTAGATGGGCAAAAGGGCCTTGCAGACATGAGGTGGCAAGTCGTAGCGATGCTTGGGGATGGGCTCGCCTTTTGCTGTGGCTGCATTTTGGCGGCACCAAGAATCTTTGCCTTTTGGGCACAAACTGTGGTCAGACACTTCGTCATTAGGTTGCCATGACAGCTCTTTGCATGGCCTTCACGTCACCTTTATTGCTCTTCAGCGCCCAGCCATAGTAGAAAGTGAGCTTGGTAATCAGGTCGCCAGTCAGTTTTCCCAGCCACCAAGGCTCTCAGTTCCAACCCCCTTTTGCTTAGCAACGAGGTTTCGCAATGCTGTGCCCATTCTCTTTTCAACGTGGTTGACACAGTCTTCCTTGTTTATTGGTATATAGCCATACACTTCTGCTTCCTGCAGTGCAAGGAAAGTGCGGCTGTCACCGTCTGAAAGTATTGTGGTGTACTTTAAATTGTGTTTTTCCAGTGATCTCGGAAAAAGCATCAATCCAGCTTCCACTTCCATTTCACCAGATTTTTTGCTGGAGTTCTTTTGGCATATATGACTTGCTTTTCACGACTGGTAATCTGGATCTCCTTCTTTCGGTCCCCGTTCGCACGCTGTGCAAAAATTACTGAGCACCACATAGTCAAGCACTAAACCCGTGAAAAGTTCTGTAACAGCGCCAACACAGATATGGGGTGAGTGTCCGCGCTTCATCCATGAACCATTGTAGGAAACAACAATGTTTCCTGGGTCACCGAGCTTCAGTTCGCTATAAAGATTACAAACAGCGAGCGCGCTTTCTGATGTGCATTTATCAGCAGCTGCAGTCACGGCGGGCGTCATCTTTGACTTCGGATGTGCCTGCTATGTTTTGGTATGCATGCCGCGGGAAGACACATTCATTGTCGCGAAAATGTCGTTCAATGCAGTTTGCTGATTGCCAGTGCTTTTCATAGCACGCGCGGCAAGAATGGTCACGACAAAGGGGTTGCACGATTTTCCGTCGTTCACGCGCGGCGAACTCCACGCGGGCGCGTTATCACCGCAAATTTCGCACGACATAACAACCTTTATGGCGAGGCCGTATTCCCGCTCACCTAACCGTACTGAAACATCGCCGCCACACCTTTTGCACTTCACGTTCGACTGCATAGCGTTTAGAGCGTGGAGGCTCACCAAAGCGAAGCGCATATCCATCACTTGTGAGCCAGTCGCAGCGTCATCCGTGGTGGCAGTGTTGTTTGCACAAGCGAGCATATCTGATTTTCGCTTGGTAGCTGGCGTTGATGCAAGGATCTGTAGTTTTTCTTCGGCTTTCTTTTTAATCATCAATAATTCAGCGGGCTTCAACATAATGGTGTCGCGTCGAAACGTCGGTCGAACATTGTTGCTGTCAGGGCCGCTTTGACACGCTAGGCCTAACCCGCACTCGGTGTTGTCGGCAGCTTCTTCGTGGCCACTCAGCACGGGAGGCGAGTCGACATCTTCTGAAGGTGGTCAGCGCTTTTTTGGAAAGTTGTATGCCTTCCGTTTCTTCGTACGTCCACCGAATTGGTGCTTTGTAGTGAACTTCAGCGTAGACTTCGGCATGGTTGCACGTTGCAGCCGCGTTGTTTGATGCCCACAGCCGCAGCCCGAGCAGACGACTGCGTGAATGCGCCAATGGCATGCGCGCTGACTGTCACGTGCACTAGTAGACCAATAGGACCACGCACCAGGTCTTACTTTTTGCTGGATTTTTCTGAGTGGCCGCTAGGCGTATGCAGTAGCAGTGGTGCGAAAAATGAAAACGAAACGCGGCTCTTTCGAATGCGACCAAGATGGCTGCAATCAGAGACGTAAAAGGGCAGCTGCGCATCTCGGAAAAAAGCCCATTTTCGCGCAACCATCGAGGAATATTTTCATCACACGTATGTTTATAAACGCTACTGCGGCTAAAATATCAATCCAGGACATGTGAAAATTTGCCAGATTATGCATCAGTCACTGCAGAATCCGAAAAAAATAAAAAAAAAAAATGATTTTTTCGCGATTTTTCGGTCTCCAAGACTCGTGTCCCCCTTTAAACGCCGCATCTGCCTCCGCACCCCTCTAGTTGCCGCTCTCCCCGACCGCTTTTTGTTACACACCCCTCCGTCCTTTGTCCCCCTGCTACTCTGAGCTACCCGCATCGCCAGACGAGGCCCGTGTTTTCACACTGCTACCGATCTTTCGAACACGGGTCGGCCATTTACCCTGTTTTTGATCGCGGCGTCGCCGGCCTGGGGTGACCAG